AGAACCAAGATGCATCATGTAAAGGTACAATTCCCAATGAGAAATGTAATTGTGTTGTATACCTACAATGTACCAATAAAAGAATTTAATTCAAACAAAACAAAACAAAAAAACCAATAAAAAGTCTGTTAAATTAAAAACGAATAAATAAGACAAAGTTCAGCATAATCTGGTCCCCTGGTGTTTGGCACTGACAGCCAAACACACACCACTGCAACCACATCAAACTTTGGGCAAAGTCTTAGACATACTGAGCTCTCTCACACTCTCCCTCCTTCAGCAGTGCTTGCTCCCCTCAGGAGGATTCTAACCCACCTGAACACTTAGTGAACTCCCACAAAAGTCTTAACTTTATTATTATGTTTTTGGCGAAGCTTTCCCTACCTAACTGTTCAACTTCTCTCCAAACCCAAGCATGTAAGGTCTCCCTATCTCTGTATTCCTCTTTGTGTTATAATCGTCTCAACGTTGATCTCACTGATTCCTAGTGCTTAGCACAAAGTGAATATGTAGTAAACACTTATAGAAAGCACTCTTTCTGTAGAAAGAAACAACAGGCACATCAGGACAGAGGACATATTTAGTATCTGTAGAATATGGTAATATAAGAGTGAGGTGGAGCTCGACTCTAGGAACAAAAACGATTCAAGAAAATACTTTGGAAAGGCTAATATCCCTGATTAAATAGGCTTAACATATAGAAGATAGGAAATAAAGAGAAGAATGAACTATAAGTGCTCAAGGTTAATAAAGTTAGAGAACATGGCCAATAATTTAAAAATTACAAAGGAAAAAATGGGCTGAAAGCTTTCCAACATCTGTTTGACAGATGTTTATGATCAATCATGTTTAATTTACATATTGGTATGCTATTTAGAGAAGACACTAGAATATGTATTATACAGTGCTTCATTGTATATGGATGAAGGGAGTTACACTAAGAAAGAACTTTCTGTGGAGTGAGAATACATTTTAAATTCAGTAACTTTCTAGGAAGCGTGTAAGTTTTAAATAGGCACCTCGATACTACACAACAAAGAAAGCATATTATGTGCATGGGTAAACTTCAGTCCTTATTTCATATGAGTGATCTGATATAAAAAAGTAGAGTGAAGGGATTAAAAAAAAGTATAACAAGAAGTGTAAAAATGCAGTTACCTGCGTACAGCACAGTCTCGATGCGATCTTTAATGTGAGCCCTGCTACTCTCTGCAGCAAGGAGGGGCGATGTCCCATTGGGAGCGGGAACAACAAGTGGCCCAACCAAAAATGCACACGCTCCACCAAGGTAACTGAGCATAGATGCAATTGCAGTGGCTGTGGCCCGTTCGTCTGCAGAAAACCATGTTGTAGAGAGGAATGGTGCTGCGTTCATTACAGTTGGACCCGCCAATCCATTTACCATCTGTCCTCCATGAATTAATCTAGAATTTAAAAAATTAAAAGGCTGTCAGGGATCCAAAGCAGGTATTTTCTAAGACAAAAAGAAATAAGCTGGCTTACCTTTTAAAAGGCATGTTGACCCTCTACGAAGGAGATCAAATATAGCAATAGTTACTATTTATTCATTTCACAGATATTTACTGAAGCCTCTGATTTGTGCCACATATCAAAATAAGCATTTCGTAGACTCAGTTCACTTAGCTGTCATAACAATACTATGTGGTGGCTATTACTGACCTCTTCTATTGAAATATGAAAGCCTAGGCTTGCAAAGATCAGGAACTACTTGCTTAAGTGTTAAAATTTAGATTCAGGTCTGACTCCAAAAATACATATTCTTTCTACTACACTGCCATTCATTAACAGATCTAGTAGTGCCAGTGGCTCTAGAAATGATACAGTTGAGCTCAACATGTCATACTTACTCTTTGCCATGAACTTTTTTTTTTTAAAAAAAGATATTTACTATCTTCTAATGTTATAGAAATTGGTTAAGGAATTGGAGGACTTGGGTCCCTTAAGCTTTGAAACTAGCTATCTGAATGGCCCTGGGCAATACATAATGGGGGCAGGGGGTTGTACCCCATTTCTTTTCCCATAAAGAGATGGGTTTAAATTCCATAAGTATTTACTGAGCACCCATGAGGTTAAGGGACTGTAATCATAGACTAGCTAGGCCCCTTTCAGGAATAAGTAGGCTTCTTTCAATTTGTTTTGTTTTGTTTGTTTTGAGGGAGAGGGTGTTGAGGATTGAATCCAGGGCTTCTTGTGTGCCCTTTCAGCCCTAATGTGCTGATTCCGACTTTAACTGTAAGATATAGAGAAGAGCAGTTTAATATTTCCATTCCATTTGTTCTCTTGCTTTTTTCTCAACATTTCACTTAGCACTCCTGGATCTTGCAGACCAAATCCTTTAACCTCATTGCTCTCCCTGCTCCCAGCATACACAGGCACATTCAAGAGAAGTCGAAAGGGCAAAAAGGAGCCAAAAGTCTAAACAAGACAAACGGGAAAAGGAGATAGCCAACCTCTTGTGACCTGGAGGTAAGGAAAGAGAAGGGATAGTACAGAGGAAGTTTCCAAGATATTATCATTTTTCCCTTTCATGTTTTGTTTTTTAAGCAGCACTGAGTTTCAAATCTTTTTTTAAACAATTGGTATCTCAACTCACTTACAAAAACTTTTCTGATTGCAGATGGACATAATTAATAAACAGGCATCTGAGGAGGGGTAAAGCCCTAAGGAAGAAGCCTATGTGAATGGGAAGTAGAATACTTAAATCCGGCCTACCTATATCTTCATAATTGTTAGAAAAATTATTTGAAAGCAAATAGCTTCGTGTCATTAATATTACTAAGAAAACAGAAGACATTTTAAAATTTCCTTGTTGAAGGGGAACAACTTTCTACATGACAGAAATGAATTTAAACTGTTTATAAAACCAAATAGTTCCAGGGCTGAGCATTTAGCTCAGTGGCACTGCATCCACCTCACAAGTGCAAGGTCCTGAGTATGATCCCTGATACAAAAACAAAACAAAAAACAAATAGTTCCTCTAAATGCCAGTGGATCCCAGAGTGTCCCACAGCAATTTTATCACAGAAATATTCTTTTTTTTTTTTGGTACCGGGGATCAAACTCAGGTCCTTGTGCTTCCGAGGCAGCCAGCAGAACCACTGAGCTAAATCCCCGGCCCCACAGAAATATTCTTAATGCATTGTTATTAAGTGGTTTTAATCATGACTTGTGATGGTACAATTAGAAAGTACTGTATATAATGGCTCATAAAGCTAACTTCTTTGATATTTAATACTTTTAATGGCATGTTACTGAAAGACTCATTTCATCTAAGAGAAGGCCTGGAATAAACAAATTTTATTACATCTAAAAATATTAAGGGTAAAGCAGGTGTGGTGGTACACACCTGAGATCCCAGCTATTCTAGAGGATAAGGCAGGAGAATCACAAGTACAAGGCCAACCTGAGCCTAGGTCTTTAAGCAAGACCCTCTCTCAAAATAAAAAATTAAGAGAAAAGAATGTAGCTCAGTGCTAGAGTGCCCCTAGGTTCCATTCACAGTACTGATAAAAAAAAAAAAAAAAAAAAAAAAAGAGAAGGGTGAAACATGGGAGAAATAATCTATTAAAAAATGTACAAACAACTGATAAAATAGTATGAGTTCTGAGAGTTAAGGTATAAAATTCAAATTACTGTCATGGCTTAATTTTCCTTTCAGTGCTGAGGATGAACCAGGATCTTCCACATGCTAGGCAAGTACTTAATTGTGAGCTACAAGGTCTGATTGCAACATACAGTGAATGTTTAAATAAAAATAAAAAATGTATTATAGTAATAAACACATTGCCACTAATCCCCCTGAATCTATTCAAAATGTTTGTGGTAACTTCTGTCAGAGAAAAACATCACAGTATGTCCTCATCCAACTTATTCACTGGATGGCACCATGTGACTTCTGGCTCTACCCCAAAGTCAAAATGACCATGAAAGATAAACATTTTTGAATCAATTCAGGACATCAAGACAGCCATGGCAGGGCAACTAAAGACACTCAGAAAAAAGGACTCTAGAACTGTGTCAAAATGTGGTTAGAATGATGGGGTATGTTTGAAGCAAGGGGGAACATTTTGAAGGGGGATTAATGGCACTGTGTCTTTTGCTGTAATGCATTTTTAGCATTCACTGTATTTTTTTTTATTGCACCTCATATACCCCCAGCCCTTGGCTTAACTCCTTATTACCTCTCGTTGGAACTATGAATAGATATTATCCAAGAGGTGACTGCAAGAGTCACAGAATATTTGAGTGTGAGATAATCTAAAGGTCATTCAAGTTCTGTGTACTCCATTCTCAGATCTGAGCATCTCTCACTGAAACACAGTACACATGCTGAAGTGCTATCAGAAAAGGCAGAATACTACGGACACGCAGATGGGTCTCAGCTCAGAGGTCTCTGAACTCAGGAAGCCAAGCTATAGCATATAAGTTTTCACAGTTAAAAACATCTCAGGAATTAAAACAAGCCAACTAGATGTTTAGCTACTAATATTAAATATTTGTATGTTTTGTGCATTAAAAGTTATCACATAGGGCCGGGGATTTAGCTCAGGGGTTCCGCCACCTGCCTCGAAAGCAGAAGGACCCAAGTTCGATCCCTGGTACCAAAAAAAAAAAAAGTTATCACATACACACACACACTCTTCACAAACGGATTCCATTGTTCTATGGCCTAAAGGATTTGTGGGTTACCTTCTGAATTTATAAGAAACCTAGCAGGTAAACCCATACTTCCCAGGACCTTTTAGTTTTCCAGAACTTAGTCCTTCTCCTTCTCACACTTGTATCCCAGAGTCCCTCAGGGCCTGGCAGTTACTAACGTTAGACTTGGTCATACGTACTGTTGTCCTAGTAGCTGTGATGTTACATTAATCTAAACTATCAAGATTTTCATGTTTCCTTGATACTATTTTCTACCACCTACCACTAACTTACTCCATTTTATAAAATATATTTAAAAATAAAATTCTGTTTAATATAGAAACTCTAATTTTTCTCTTTAATGTTAATGCCAAATAAGTTTTTCTGGAAAAATGTTGACCTTTAATATAGTAAAGTCATATAGTTATTAGCACAAACTCTTTAAAATGAGAAAAAAAGTGATGAAATAACAGTAAAATACTTACTATAAGTTATATTCATTATTTAACTCATTCAACAAACATGTATTAACTATTCTCTGTGTGTTGGGTAGGCACCATGATAGACATAAGGGAATATAAAAATAAAAAGTGAAAACTCTCACCTTTCAGAATTTCTAAGAGGCCTGTAAATGGGGCCAGGCAACAGGCTGGGTTTTCTAAGTGCTAACTTCACCAAGCTGTCCAGTGACAGGTCAAGGTCCTATGCTGAGGCACCAGCACCAGATTTGGACCAGTAGACCCAGCTACTCCACAGCCTGAAGAATAAGAAACAAACCTTGCTACTCAGTAGAAGAAAAATACCAAAACTACTGCTAAGTTATCCACTAATGCTGAAAGAATTCAGAGGTATGGCAGCTAGTTGAAATAGCCCTTGCTCCACCTAACTGCAATGCTGGGTGTAAAAGAGAACATTTATGAATGGAGCTCAACTGTACTTGGTCCACTAGGTTCTGTATATGAAGGTGGTGTGTTTTTTTCTAGATATCACATTTTCACCACTTAAGCCACTGCTTTCTGCACCAGAATCCATCCCTGCACTATCAACAGTCAGGAAGTCATCTGTCTGGACATCCTGAAAGACAACTGCAGTCTCACTTTGACTACTTCAAAGGTTTTGCTGTCCATCTGTCCCCTTCTGACAGACTGCAACTCTGGATCCTCTGGTTGGAAGCTCACGGCCACTCAGTATTTGATCAACAGAGCAGAACATGACAGGATAACAAGATAGTGACCAGGAAACACACAACGTAATTCACAGTTTGTATAAAGTGTGAGGAAGCAGAAGGCATCTTCCCACTGTGCTGCAGATTTTTATAGTCTTATGGCTTGACTTCCATGTATGTGTTACACCGATGCTGCTCCCTGCTTTTATCCTTGGGAGATTGGGAGATTCCTCAAAAAGCTAAATACTGTAAGTGTAGAACTTTATAGCTATAGATTAGATATTTTAAAAACACTTATTTTCAAGTGTTGCTTCTTCAGAATATCAAAATGTATTCTGTGATATATATTAAGGATACTGGCCTGGAAGTCTACCAAATATTATAGTATTTTTTTTAGCCAAATTCATTATCTGTATGAAATTATACAAGTAGTCATAGATGACTAGGTATTAATGTCATTCATTTTAGACCCAGATCTATTTCTGAGTGTGTGGTTCATGCTGTTGTAAAAATGCTTTACCTTTTACCTTTGTCAGCTGGTAATTAGAGGATTTCCTTTTACCCTTTGCAGCTCATGTATCATCTCAAATACAACAGGCT